TGATTGCTTCAGGATAATCTTTAGATTGAAATATTTGGATTATTATATTAGAGCGTTTGGCTGATCTCCCGAGTAGAATTCCCTATAGGACCAGATAGGTTTGAGGAGTGCTTTATACATAAGGATTTTATTATGTAGTGTGACTTATTAGTTATTTGGAAGAAAGGAGAAGRCGAAGCTGTCTTGCCTGTCTTTGACGACTATTGAGTAGATACTAGTCGTTTGTTACGTATGTGGGCAGCACACGTTAGTCGGTGATCTATAGGTATAATGTATAAACCTAGATAATGAACATTTTGAGCGGTCGGGAGAGGTTGGTTGTTAAGTGTGATAGAGGGGCAGCTTATTTGTCTGAGCACAGAATAGATTAAATCTTTTCCGTAGTCTGAGAGTGAATGTGCTGCAGTGGATGGATTTGGATTCGTTGAGTTGGAATCCGCATTCTTTGAAAAGTAACATTTACATTCAATTACTTATAGGTAGGTACAAAGAGTGGTGTAGCATTATTTTAGCATGACAATTATTGGGATTATTTTAAGTCAGGAAAAAAAATGGTTTATTATCACCATTAACCGTCGCGTACGACGTATACCTGCCTACATGTAATATAACACAGTCTCTGATGAGTACATACATATGTATACCTATAAATCAGTGATGTATTCGTAATTTTTTTCCAGGGTATAGGTACGCTCAGCGCACAAACGTATATTGAGTGGAGAGTGGTGGGGAGCTTAATCMTCCTCTCTCTCTCTCTCTCAAAAATAAATTTCTCACCAAACATAAAATTAACTTATGGTGGATCGTGGGGTATACCATCGCGTCTTTATATTTAAATTGATTTATCTACCCCTCCCCCTCAAAAAAAAAAAGGTTGTTAGACATATTTACGCCATGCAATAGGATAAGATGGAGTTAGAACTTACTTTTTATCTCATTATTTCGTTCTGTTTGCCATGTATGAGGTAAAAAAAATGAATCTTATACATTTTTTCTAACGATTATAAGACAATTGGTAATTCAATACAATTTTTTTGAAGGTATACGCGTGTATACCTGGGTATACCCTCCAATACACCATAATAGGTATTAATTTTAGAATGATCGCCGAAACGCGTATAGTATATACAGTCAWACGATTTACGAATACCTATT